ATGTTCTATAATGTTAATACGTTCTATAACAATATTTTTCAAACCTATTGTTCTTAAAAAAAAATTTATAGAGAACAGCTTAATTTTATAAATATTCTCAAATTAAAAGTGATGTTCTTATGAAAACATAAAAATATAAGATTTCCAATACTGGATAGAGCTTTTTAAAAAACTATTCAGGAAAGTTTCCAAATAGATATACTCAACTATCACTTAATACTCCTCTACTGTCTCAGAAATTTTGGAAATTGGTGCCATATTAAAAAACCTCTCTCATTTTTTTTTTTCTGAGCAGGTGATAAGCATTGCTTTTCTTGAGCATTGCTTTTCTTTGGATGCATCTTGTTTGCTTTTGAAGAAAAAAAAATAATTTGTTTTTTTTGATAATCAAGTTATACAATCTGTTTTGTATTGATTACAGCTCAAATTTGAATTGGCACATAGTTATAAGTCGATCATGGGTTATGTGAATTTCACAATAATCCAATTTTATGATAATCTGCAACAATTACTAATTGTTAGCAGAGTTTATTTTTTATATTGCCTATCTATTTTATAGAATATTCTGTTTATTACAGCCAAGAAATATTAGATTTGTAATTTGAGAAAAAACCAATTTGTTTAGTTCTAAATAACTTTTGTTATTAAATAAAGTTTTTTTGTATTTGAGCTTTGGCAAGACTATTAAAAAGCTAAATATACAATATATATATATATTAAGGGTAGAGTGTATATCAATCATTTATTATATGATTTTTGTAGTACAATGAGATTTTATGTATAAAATTACAAATAAAAGTTTTCAAAATTACTGTTAATTTTTACTAAAATTGGGTAATATACAGATTAAACCTTCTATTTATAGTAGTAAAATTTTTATAGATTGTATTATTTTAAAAAAATATACTTCTTTATATAGTTAAATTTGCTAGAATTATACAAAAAACAAATAGTAAAAATATTTCTAAAACAGATAATTACTCAATCAAAGTTGTGTTTACTATATAATTTGTTATACAAAAAAGATCGACAATATATATTATATAATAAATGATTTACATATACTCTATCTTTAATTTTTTGATAAAAATAAAAAGCTTACTTTTGTAAAAATTTTATAAAAATAGTAAAGATATAAGTGTCTTGTTCTACTTCTTAAAAGAGTATATATTTTCTTTTATCAAATATTATAAATCTTAAAAACTCAAAAAAGTGCTTGTACTTGTTTTTTAGTAAATAATAAACTTTAAGCTTGTTAGCAAATAGTATATAAGATTGGGATCCTGTGGCCTAGTAGTCTAGACACCCAACCCTCCACGAGTGGGTTTCGGGTTCAAGTTCTTGTAGGTATATTTACCTACAAATATTTGGAAATATTTGCCATGGAAAGTTCAAGCAAATACAGGTCTGAATTAGAAATTTCTGGAAGAAGGTTCATTGTGGAATAGTTAACACTATGTGTAATAGTAGTTATTACAAAAGGTTCTATTATACAAAGGTGTGCATATAAATCCACAATTGGCAAGGTAGTACCAACAACCTCTAAGGTGGCATTGGGGATCTTGTTTAAGAAGATGACTGGGCAGTAGCCAGAATTGGAAAAGTAGTAAGAAATATGGTAAACACAAAGGGACCTGTGGTAAAGAATTAACCTTATCAGATTTGGAACATCTCTGGCACATACAAAACTCGCTAACCAATAAGAAGTTGAAGCATGGAGGTATGTACATGTTGATAGATCTAACAGGCTCTAGTCATACCTATATGGGAGTTTTCAAACATTAAGAGAACTTGAGACTACTAATACAAGTATAGCTAGTATAAGTAAATGCAGTAGTAATTAAGAGCTACAATTGCCAAAAATTACTATAAATAGAAACAATGATGCATCTGTTAAGAATCCCTAGGCCTCATAATCCCATCCAACTATATTGAGTATTGAAAGTATTTGCAAAACATGTCTGAGCAAGCCTTATCACTATATTGGAAAGTATAGTTATTTGCTCATTATTGAATTCAAAATGTTAAAATCTGGGTCTTAAAGTTACAGGAAACCAGCTAGTTACAACAGCATGTAGGCTTGAGATACTTATCCAATTGGGTAGAGGCAGCTGCATGGCTTGAAATACAAACTCCTGAAAGTATGCTAATTGGGACCAAGCACACCAAATTAGGAGCAATAAATACCCACCTGATATATACCAATTTGGAAGTTAAGATATTAGGTATGTAGGTAAAGTAACAAATATATAAATACTAATTGGCAGTTGGGGAAAGGTGTATAAATCCAGGTCAATCACATGTGTGGGAGTATTGACGGCTTTGGTGGGGTGTAAATAGTCTTAGATCTAAAGTCCTAGTCCTAGTTCTGATATGTAATATGTATGTATTTTAGCACTACCATATGTCAACTTGCTTAAAAATCTAGAGCAAGTACTATACTCTAATATTAAAAAAAAAAAAAAAGCAAATAGTATATAAAAACTACTTTTAAATAACAAATGCAGTTCTTATAGTAAATAGTAAACTTTAGATTTATTAAAGTAGTATATAAGAGCTATCTTTAAATAATAAGTGCTATTTTTTAGTTTTTTAATCTTATCTTAACTTTGTTTGGCTAAGTCTACTATATTATTTAAAAGAAGTTTATAAATTTTTGAAATAAGGTAGTATCAAAAAGAGTTAAATTAAAAATTGGTTTGCAATATCTACAATATTTATATAAAGTTATAATTATTTATTATCTTTGAAAATCTTCAAATACCATTGTTATTTTTTGACTATTATATTTAACTCACTTGATTATCTTATTTTTTTTCAATTTTAATATCTTTTTTAATTATATGTATTGTTATAAGCATAGTAACAAGTTTACTATTAATTCATAATAGTGCCAGTATATTATTAACTACTACACTTTAAAAAATTCCACTCTAAATCTTTTTTTTAAAAAATAACAAAAAGTTTGCTGTATTAGTACGAACAGTACTACATGCACTATATCCTTTTTCTCGAAGAAAAATAAATACTAGAAAAATAACTATAAAAATATTAAGTATAATGTTTATAGTCTATCGAATAATTCAGAAAAAAATTTGTCTTATTCAATATTTATTACGGACTGTTTTTATTTTAAAAAAATAAGAATAAAAAAATAAAAAATTGTGAAAATTTCTTTTTCAAAGAATTTAGAAGCTCAAAATCTTCAAAAAACAAGTTTGAAGGCTTCTTGGGTCAGAAGCCATGTGACTGCTACCTCGATTATTGGAACGCTAGTACTTTTAAAATATATATATATATTATACGTACAATATACAGTATGTCGCATAATATTAATTTTTTTTTTTTTTAATATTTAAGGTGAGACCTGTCGCATAATATTAATAAAAAGTTGCAAAACAAAAAAACACCAGAAAAACATATATTTGGTAAAATATTATTTTTACGTACAGTACGTACCATTTTTTTTATTCTTTAAGCTTTATTAAAAAGTATTAAACATAAAAATTACCGTTGTTATACTTTTTATTTTTAGATATATAAAATATGTACAATGATGTTTAACATACTGTATACTGTACATTAATAAAAAACCACTCAATAATTAAAAAAAAAAAAAAATTGCAAAAATTATTTACAAGTTGGTCAAACACCCAAATCGGATAAGTACATAAATGCATTCACCCGGGTTAACCAGGTTAGCCACCCAGGTACGAACCAAAGAGGATTTAACTTTACAAATTCCATCCAAATTATTTGCTTCGAACATATGGGGTCTTTGCCTTGAAAATGACCTTACGGTACATGATACCGAAGGTCATTTTCAAGGCAAAGACTCCATATTACGTCAACAAAATTGGTCAGTGAAAGATTTGTGTAACAAGTGATAAGTAGCCACTGAAGATTTTTTTACTATTGGATGGACATCCGGTAGCATCCAATCCATGATTTTGCAAGATCCCAAAGGCAGGACCCGAAGATCACGAATATTCAAGGGCAACGCACGCTAAGTGAATGCTAGTGCCTCTCGTAGATTTATTCTGATTTTTACTAATTGCGGATTTTTTTTATGGATATTAATTTTTATTATACGCATATAAATAATAACTATTTGTGAAAATGGCCGTTTCAACGTGAAGCTATTCTGAACATCATATAAAAAAAATTTTTTTGTTAAAAAAACAAAACTCAGTTCTGTTCCATGTAAATCGATGCAACATTTTTAGGCCCTAAGTGTATATATATATATACCTTGAAAATTATGAAAGTAATCCTATATTAGTTACATAAATACGTTACTAGTCCGGAACTTCATATTTAAAAAAATAATAATACAATTAGCCTGTCAGTCCATCAAGCCAAAAGTGCAACTGATGTTTAATACTCATGAAAAATCTGTAATTAATAATATAAACAACGTATACGTATTCATCAGGGCGAAGACATATCGGCAAGATCTTGAAATGTCGGAATCTTATGCGTATCTAAAGCATAACAAATAAAAAGACTCATGAGATTATTCTTTTTATTGAAATATTGAAGAATCTAAAAGTTGCAGTGGAAAAATTCCAGATTTCTGTCAATAACACCGTATTACGATTTATGATTTATAGCGCTAATTAAAAACCTAATGCTAATTAAAATATTGTATCACTCATTGATCTAATTCCATTATTTGAGTACATTGAGTACATCGCTTACGCACTATATCTCTAATGATATAAAGTATATGATGTTACACAAGAAAGTATGGCTCAAATCTATATACAAAAAAAAAAACTTTTTGTAATGATCAAAAGCTTATGCGTGAATTATAAGAAATCGATCAGCCGATTTTGAAAAAAATCGACCGGTCAAGCCGAAAATTAGCTTCAGCCGATTTTTTCATTACTGGCCAGGATCACTATGCTCTTGATCAAGTTCACCCATCTTGTACTAAAATAAACATTGAGTTATGAGTATAAAAATAAATGACAAACTAGTTCGAATGGAAAAATAAATTATTTTCTAATCCCTACTTTTGGTAGTAACCAAGATTCCCACCCCTCGCGTTTTCTGACTTTATCTTCATTAACCTCAACAATATAACTATTAAGTAATGCCTACGACAAGAAAATAGTTTTCACATAAGCATGATTAAGTAAATTGATAAATGTTTCAGTGAGAATTCATACCTCACGAACTAGATCCATGTCCAACGTCAAAGCTTTCACCCGATTAAATCCTGCTAATAAAACAATTGGTACATAGCCCTCTGAATCCATCTAATATGCGTGAATGCAAATACAATTAGATTACAGCAGAATGAGAGATCGAATACATTAATTTGCTATATTAGAAATAAACTTGCATTATTTCGTAAAAATATATCCTTGCAAAGGTTGTCAATACTGAAATAATACTCTCTGAAATATTAAATAATCAAATTTGTCAAAATACAGGCCAACAAATATATATATATATATATATGTATATATAAAAATTCAAATAGGACGTACATTTGTTGTAAAATGTAATATTTCAAAATTTCTAAGTCATAGCCAATTTTTCCATATACACTGACGTACTGTTGAACGTATCCCGTTGTTGATGCATAAGGTAAAGTTACCGAACGAGGAGGCCCGCGTGTGCCATTGTAAGATCGGCCTTAATAAATTAAATAACCATATTTAATTTACTCATTTAATTGAATAAACAACAGAATCACAATTAAAATGAAACAATTCTTAACGATTAAATTTATTCACACCTCTTCCTCCCCTACGACCTCCTCGAAATGGAGGTCCACCATTAGAATGTGAATGATGGCCGACATTGTTGTCACCATGTTGTGAATAACGACGACCATATTCTCTAGATGGAGGAGGTACACTTGCACGACGTCTATTTGTATGATTATTATTTTGCACCGTTGGTGTTTCCACTTCAGGACTTATGACCTTTTCGTTAGTTTTGCGTTCACGAAGTCCAGCATGGTCTTCACTACGGCGCCGAGGTTTTGACCTCTCATGATTTGGTAATGGTGCATTATGTGTGATTATTGGTGTATACTTAATCCATTTACCTTTACCTTTTAAAGACAATCGCACAATTCATTATAAGATAAAGCATAAAAAATGAACCTAATAATAAAAGCCAATATAAATGAAGAGATTTTCACCTCTTCTTGGACTATCTTTTGTTCCGATATCAATGGATTGCTTCTTATCGGTAGTTTCAGTTTGCTCCTTTTCTTTGTCTTTGATCAAAACTTCTGCAGGAGCCGGCCAACTGTTTTGATCTTCTAATGGGGGTAATATTGGAGGAGGTTTTTGTTTCTTTGATTCTTTTTTAACGATTCTTTTAATATCTTTAAAAATAGACAAGGAACCAGGTATGAAGTTAATTCTAGGTTCTTTGTATATTATTGTATATAGTCTGCAAACGCACAATATTGACTTGTAATCGGCTTTTCTTAACCAATTAAAGGTTAATTCCAGCCGACAGTAGGCAATTAACATTTGACGACGATTTTCTGATAATCCATACAGTGGGAATTTAGAGGCAATTATTTAAATAATTCGGTACATGAGCTTTCAACAACCAATGACTTAAAAGATCCACCTTAAAATGAAAACAACGTGCACGAAAATAATTCTAGCAATATGTCATTTTCCTGCAAAACGTGACAATAAAATCGTAACTTACCATCCGAAGGTTCTTGTTGATCAATAATAGGATTTTCAACTTTTTTGATATCGGCCACAGCTTCTTTGTCGTTAAGGTTGGAAGTTTCAGTTCCTTTTTTTGCGTTCATGGCTTCCTTTCTCACCTGCCAAATATTTACAGGTGGTATTGGCGCAGGAGAAGGCGGTGTTTTTTTTGGAGGGTCGTTTTCCTGAGAAACTTTTTCAGTTTCCTCGATATTATTTATGAGTTCTTTTTGTGATGCTGATACAGGTGATCGAATGGTAGTCTGCCCGTTAGTTTCTGGTTCTGTGGTTTTTAATTTCGTACTAGAAGGCTTGATCAGATTGACATTGCTGACATTGGAACCAGCGAGATTATTATCCGGCTGCGCAGTTTTTGGACTGACCATGGTTTTGAAACTTTGAATAGTAACTAACTCGTAAAAAAAAAGGAGTCTTCTTTTTTTGATTCTTTTTTTGATCAGAAAAGTAGACACCTAAATTAAGGTTCTAGCAATAAACGTTCTTTTGCAGTATTCTATTACGGCAAGAAGCTAAGAACAACAAAAGATATCCGTTCCGCGTGAATAAAAATTTATATTTTTTCTTATGGTCGTTAGCGAGGCAGCGAAACCCCTCTCCAG